CCACTCACAGACCCCCTCAGTCTCTTGTCCGCCTGCTTCCTCTGCCTGCGCTTCCGTCTGTCTCCCTCTCATCCCCCGTCTGTCAGCCATTCCGGCTCCGCTCTCGTTCAAGCGGGACCTCCGAAGGTAAACTCGCAGCTCCTAGCAGCACGTCTGGGGGCCGCGCCGCGTCCCCCCGGCCCCATCCTAGCTGTAGCACTTACCGCCAACAACATCAGGAAAAAGGTCGAGACAAAAACGTAGAAAACGTGCCCCCCCCCAACCCCACAAGTCAGACACTGCAAACATCGTTTCTGTGGAGAAAACTAGCCGTCTCGGCTCTTTTTTTTCTTTGATTTATTTTCTTTTTTCTGCAGCTTGATCTTGGCCAGACTGGAAACAGTGAGGAATCTCTGTCAGATGTAAGCTTGAATATTGTTTCGACTTGTGTACATTCCTTTAACCTCTTTCTCTGTTGCACCAATCAGCTACTTACCAATTGGAACAGAGAGGTTTTTATATATTTATAGATAGACACGCGTTTCGCCGTGGTCTCCACACATAGGCATCCTCGTGTGCAGCACTGCATTGTGGGTATTGTGAAACTGGAATTGTAGCCTAACTGAAGAGCCCCTCCTGTCAATGCACACAGGAGGGATCAGGGACAAGTTAGGGGACAGTGTCAGTCTATCTCTTGCAGCCACACCGACGACCCCACCTTAGTTAGTGCGACCGTTCTGTGTGTCCGCCCTCATTCCCGTTTGTGCAGCCGGAAAGCCTTCAGTCCTGACAGAATCACAGATACACGGTGATCCGGGTTAACCTGGACAAAAGGAAGTTGGAACTGGTCGCGTTTCTTCCTCGTTACTACAAAATCACCATCGAAGAAGACGCATCTGTAAAAGAGAAGGCCAAGCACAACTCTACATTGTGATTCTTTTCATCATAGATTTATATCCATTGTTTCTGGGTGACAACATTGCATTCTTTTTTCTTTTTTTTTTCCATTTAATGTGAGAGAAATTGTTGAATCCTTTGCTGTGGTAAATGTTGTTTATCTCATGCTGTTCTTCCTGCTCTTCTCTATGCTTCTCTTGTAATTATAAGATGCTTATTTTCAAAAAAAGGTTTTGGTGTACTAATTAAAACAATCAGTTCTGGAAACAAAGGAAATTCATGCAGTGACAGTATTGGACCAGTTGTGGGATCAGTCGGCCGGCAGTTTGAGCTTAAGCCAGCTGCTGTTGCCTCTGATCTGTGGATGTTATGTTTGATTATGCGGCCTCTCAGACAATAACGTTACAAGATAGTGTTGGAAACACAGGGAATATATATATATACTGTTTGATATCATCTGGTCTTGGTCTCCGTCTGGCACAAGAATCCCAAACACAGCTGACTGTTTGTGATGTTTGACCTGTAAATCAATGAATAAACCTAAAACAATGAGCCTCAGCAGCCGTTTGCTGGCCGATAAATCTAAAGACAGCCGGTGTGGGTAATGTCGCTGGCTCTTAAACTCTGCGTCTTTCCTCCACTGAAGATTCAGAAACTCCATCAGTCATCCCCTCTCGTCCGTCTGTGGTGTAAACGTCACTGCCTGACCATTAACGCCTCTTCTGTTCTCTTGCTGTCGTGCAGACGTCAGGGCGGTGCATTTTTAGGTGGGGCGGGTGGCCTTTGGGGGGGGGGGGGGGGGAAAAGTGCAGCAATGTTAAATGAGACCAGGCTCTCCCTCTGTAGCTAGATTACGTTGTATAACTGTATATGCATCATAGAGGTGGGCTTGGGAACAGGTTTTTACAGGTCATGGTGCTCCGGAAAGTGGCTTGCCTGCAGCTGAAAGT